TCTTCACTTTCAGCAAGCAGGGCTGTCTATGGGACAGCTCAAATTTCGACACTGGCCAGGTGCCCTCCCAAGCTATTTGGGGCATAGAGCAAAGAGTGGAGAGGACTGTGAAGAACAGTTTAACAAGATCTGGTGAGAGGCAGGGAGGGCAGGGCAGGACTCTGGCCTGTGTGCTGCCTAGGACAGCTGCCTGGGGAGCCACCAGTGTGCATGTGTGTATGTGTATGTGTGCATGCATGCATGTGCTGAAGCTTCTCCTCTCTACGCCTGGGGTAGGGTCTGCCCTCTCTCAGGTTATGGGCAGAGTGCAGCAGTCTCCTGGGCTCAGAGATACTGTCTGGGCTGTGGCCTCCTGCGAAGTGATCTGTCTTGGCTATTGAGAAGAGGAGGGCTCTTTCTTTCCTAAGGGCCTACAAAGCCTACCACACATCACCGTGGTCTCTGTCATCTCATTTACTCAACAGAAGCATCTGGGGGAGGTGTAGACCCCCTTTCACAGGTGAAGAAATGCAGGCTCTGAGAGTGAAATGGCTTGCCCAGGCTCGTGCAGCTGGTCAGAACTTGGGTCTTTCTGACTCCTGACCTTCTTCCCTGTTTTGTGTTGTGATTTCAGATGCCCACAATGAAGCAGTAGGGTGGGGTAGGGTGGGGAGCAGGTAGGGTTCATTCTCTGTCCTGGAAAACTCCTCAGCAGGGTTTGCAGGGCCCTACCACTTTCCTGGTGTGGTACTGTGGGATAATGCGTCAGACTGCAAAGTAGTTTTAGCTGCCAGGTCAGTGGTTCAAGCTCACCAGGGGCTCCTTGGTGTCCACTCGATGGCACTTAACAACAACAACAACCACTCTCTGGAGGCCCTTCACATGTCAGTATGAACAGGGCATTGGCAGGTAGGGCCACCTTGACCAGTGGTCTCGGTTGGTACACTGACAAATGCGTCCACTGAAAGGGTGAGCGGAGACTGGTATCCTGGAGGGAAAGACCCCTGTTTTGAATTCATCTGCCCAGACCACACAAAGTTGCCAGCCATGCCAATAGTGGCGCCATAGACAGAGCTGAGTACAAGTTCCAGTCATACCCTGCTGCTTGCTGGGGATGAAATGATACGTTATTAAAAGAACTCAGAAAATGCCAGGCACCTTTCTCTCACCAACCCACAGGGACAGATGATCCTGCTTCACCCATGCCTTCCACCCTCAGCCCACAACACTGGTGCTGCTGGCCACGCCAGTCTGAGAGAAGAAACTCTCTCTCTCTCTCTCTCCAAAGGTCCCCAGGAGTGTGAGGCCCTGTGACTGCCCTGGTCACCCCTCAATGCCAAGGGCCCTTTCTGGAGTCTGACTGCAGGTAAATCCCCATCTGCTCACCCTGGGTTTGCTGTGGTCTTGTCTGGGAGGAACAGGAGAACTTACTGTGGACGAGGACTTTGGCGTAGGAGGAGGCCTGGCCGTAGGCATTCTTCACCATCACGGTGTAGGTAGCTGAGTCCTCAATGGTGCATCTGACATGGAGGGAGAGAGAGAAGATCCCCCTATCAAGATTACTGGTCTTCATAGCAAACTCAAGTCCCCATCTGGGGTGGGAAAGGTTGGGACTAACAGGAAGGCCTGATGGTGGAAGGGGAGACTTTAGGCGTTAGTTCAGCCCACCTCTGAAAATTATATGCCTTAGAGCTGGCCATTAAACCTCTCCATGCCTCAGCTTCTTCCTTTGAAAAACTGGGGATATAACACCAGCCTAAGTACCTCAGGCAGAAGTGCTTTGAAAATATCGTGTACTGCATTGCATTGCTATTACTGATTCTGGAGAATCAGAGAGGTTGAGTGTCTTGCCTAGAGTCACACAGCAACTGGAATTCAACTCTGTTTCAAGGTAACCAGCCCTGTCCCAGGCAATGCTCCCTGTCCTATTAACACCCTCAAATCAGAATCCTGGAGCAAGAGCCTCCTCCTGTCACACAGAGTAGGGGATGGACTTGCCAAAGGTAGAACCAGGCCAGGTGCCCAGGTCTCCTTGCTCTCACGCCTGGGTCTCACCACAAGCCATGCCAACCCTATCAGGTTCCCAGTAGAAGCAGGCCGACTTCACCCCATGGGCACCAGGGGCCCATGGAATGTCAGGAAACTTCCAGACACCCTCTGCCAGGTGATGATGAGAGTGAGTGATGAAATATGGTACATCTGGCCCTGTCAGCAGATAGAGAGGCCCCTTTATGCCTCCCCTTTCTCTCTAGTCACCCTTGGTGGGAATCGCTCGTTTGCTTGCTTTTGTTTTATTGATGTCAAATATACACTATGTAAGAGTCACCAGAAGAGCCCTAGTGACATCAGGGAATAAATGTTGGGTTGCTAACTGCAAGGTCATCAGTTTAAATCTACCAGCCAATCCGCAAGAAAAAGATGACACGGTCTGCTCTCATAAAGATTAAAAAAAAAAAAAAAGTTTTATTGTGTATTTGAGCGATAGTTTACATGGGGGAACTTTAGTTTTACATTCATTCTATCCTACATCATTTCATTGCCTTACTTACCATCCCATCCATGCATCATC